TAGTCTATAAAGGTTTTATTTTGAAATCGTATCCGGAAGTTGAAGTATTCTAGCAGTGGCTTGATGTGAGTCGGCTGAAGAGCTGCACAGGCTGATGTGATCGAGCCCCTGCACATATTGGGACGCCCCCCACTCCAAACAGGTACTGATACTAATAACAACAATAATTATAGTAATTATAGGAGGACAGTGCGCGTTTGCCCGCGTGCATGACTGCATGTGTGACGTTGGTGTGCGTGCAGGCTGCGTTCACTGAACTCTGTGTCTTTGTGATGTGACAGAATGATAGATATTGGGATTAACATCAGTTTGGGTAAATCTCTGCAGTGTCAACAATGTCAGTGATTTATGGCCGCGCACGAATGTATCTGATGGTCAGCTGCTCCTCCACTTTAACCTCTTAATGTGTTGGAAATACGTCAATTATTTAGTTCAGATTTGAACAAAGGTTTTCTAGAGACTGGAGTCAGCTCAGGGTATTTAATGAGACTGAATAGATTTAATGTGATGTTGTAGAAATACCCCAAGTTGTTGAGGTACTGGTACTTTAATTATGAATAGCATGAGGAGTGCGAGAGCATAGTGATTCAGTGTGTGTGTGTGTGTGTGTGACAGATATAGACAGATTGAGAGATGTGGGCATCAGGCCCAGGCCGCCTGACTATTCCTGCACTGCCCTCATCACTTACCATACTCTCTTTGTGTTTGGCAGCAGGACAAATCAAATGGTTGCAGAGCAGGAGCAGCCAAGATTTGATTACTTTCATTATTACTCAGTAACAAAGAGGGCAGAGCACTACAGTGGCCCTGAAGTTCAAATCACAAAACACAATCTAAGCTGCATTCATTACTAATAGAAAAGGTGCTATCAGCAGTCGCTGACTGGATGGACGCACTGTTCACGTGCTTTGATATATTAGATATATTGTTGTATTCATTATACACAATCATAGACACACACACTGCTATGTTCTACTGTGCCACAGTGTGGCCGAATAATTTAAAGTGTCGATTCATATTTCACAGAATACGAGCAAAGCAAGCACAATCCCACGAATACCTCACTTAAAGCTACAAATAAAAAACCCATCTTCAGTCTCAATAAATATCTTTGTTTACCTCCATTTGAAAAGGAACAAAATGAATAATGATAGTAAATAATCAGTCACTATTAGATATACATGTGTTGATAAGTTGACTGTAATAAAAATACACAAAACAACTGTTAACTGAATGTATTTGGTGCTCAGAGTACAGTACTTTCTTCAACTGGACTACTTATACTGACTTCTCTGCACTAAATGCAGACCTTCATATCATTTTTCAAAATCCAGGATTTTCTGACTCAGCATCAGTGTTTGAGAGGACACACTAATTCTCTGTCGTCTCGTCTGAGTGCTCCCCCCGATGTTGCCAATGGTACGGAGACAACATCTGTCGGATCTCGCTCCTTTTGACACCATTTTTTAGGATGACAGCTGAGTGGAATAGCGAAGTCTAAAAATAGCCTCGGTCAGTCAGTCACGACTCTGGAAATAGCCACAAATGGATGTGGGGGCTGAGATCACTGACTCGACACTCTCAGAAGAATAGATAGAGTTAATAAAAAGAAAAAGGAAATCTCAGAGATGACAGATTTTAGGTGGTGGAATTGGGGCAGGGAGGCCGGGACATACTCAGTGCTGAAGGGCAGATTGATCCAGACCATTAGAATGTCAGCAGCCGAGGGGTTTAACCTAAATCTGTGTGGCAACAGCTCCCACCATGTTCAGGGCTTAGTCCAAGTGGGATGACATTTGATTTCAGTCCTGTTCTCCTTTGTGCCACAATTATCCCTGTGAGTGCACTTTTAGTTGATGTTCAGCATTTTTAATACATAAGATAATCCTTTGAAAATTGCCATGTTACAGCAGCAAAGGGGGAATAGTGAAAGTACACACTCAGTACAAGTAATCAATAGGTAATATGTTCAACATGAACAGAACATGTACAGTCAAACTGTATTGCACATATATGAAGTTGAAATTGCATGGATGGAAAAAAAATATATGTAAAGAGTTCATTTAAGGCACGGCTTAAAAAAAATAGTTGTTTTATTTTGAAATCCCACCCGGAAGTAGTTGTATTCTAGCATGGGCTTGCCGTGACACTGTAATAATAATGTGATATAATGTTTTTAGATTTTTTTATTGTCTGGTATTGTTATTTGTTACGGTTTTTATATAGGATTTATCATTACTGTTACATTGATTGGTAACATTGGGTCTTGTGATGACTATAGTGAACATAAGCACCAGCTCACCTTAGTGCGGAGAGAGGGTGAGTGGGTCACCACGATTTTGTTGTTCACACTTGATTATTTTGCTTATTATTTGTTAATGTTAAAAATACATAAGCTTTATTTATTTTTGAATCCTTTTTTGTTACTCTGTGTCAGCAAAAACTGCTAATGCGTTCAAGTTTTTGCAGGACAAAATGCATAAATTAGTTATGTTAGTCGTCACTTCAAAATTTTTTAACTCTTAAGTAAGAAAACACTAAAACAATCAATCATAAAAACTAGAATTTGATAAAAATCAGGGAATGCAGTATGTTTAGGCTTTGATTCAAAGGATTCAATAGCTCTGACCCCCTCATTTGTTTTCAAACGCTCCTTTGTGGGAGTCACAGAGGTGCAGTGGTCCGCGCTGTTGCCTGGTGCTTCCCTGCACAGTCCAAAGACGTAAAGGTCAGTGTTTATTGGCTCCAGCTGACTTGTGACCTTCACAGGATAAGCATGTACAGTAATGGATGGATGTTTGTTTGTGTGTTACTCAAGTTGGTCCTACTGTGTGTTTCAGGTCCTGCTATGGTGAGGTCTTTCAGCGATGAGTGATGTCGAGGCGACCTTTGAGGACTTCATTGCCTCTCGACGGTCCGGACGCAGGAACGCCATCCATGAAATCCCAGCAGGCCCTGGAGAGCAGGGACCCAGCGGCCTGTCAGAGAGTCTAGCACAGCTTAACATCAACAAACCAGGTGAGAAACATCACTGGTCATAATAGCAAAATGTTATCATGACTTCTCACACATGTAGCATTTCCTGTTTATACTGTCTTTTGATATTTGATAATATCGTGAAGATTCACGATATTATCAAATATCAAAAGACTCATTCACGTCACTGTCTCTCTCCAAAGTCTTAACTTATGCATGAAACTTACTCATCTGTCTGATTCTCTCCATCTGTCTTTCTCTCCGTTGGTCAGGAGAAGGAGAAGACGCTGAGAAAAGCCAGGACTCTCCCACCAAGAAGGAGGAGTGTCAAGGTGAGGGCGACTGAATGGCCGTTTATGGACTCAGGAAAGTCACACTCACTGTTCTCTGCCTGATCCCTGGAAGCTCGGCCTCTGACTGGCACCATGACTACAAAGACACAACGCAAAATCCTCCGCTGGCACCGTCACACCATCAGGATGACATCACCGTGCTAATCTCAATTCTGTATCCTTCCTGCGCTCCAGGATGTTCCCATTTCCTTAAAAGCATTCTTTCCTCACTGACACTGTCTCTGCTCTCAGGTAGTTGATACAGGATCAAATGTGATGCACGGTGAACACATCATGATTTTGGACAACCAGAAGCAGCTATGTTTATCTGAGAGAAGCTCGGAGGGGGAAGGAGAGAAGGGAACAAAGGCCATTCAAGAATTTGGGCGCAGGATCAAAGGTTTCTGATGAATTTGAGTTTCGTCTTGCTTTGAGTCAACACTTTTAGTCTCACTAATCAGCATTAGTGAGACTAAAACGCTTCCAGGGATCCCAGGACAGTGATGGGATAGCTTCTCATCCTCTGCCCTTATTGAATCAGCACACCCACACACGTACTTTCCTCATCAATGCTCAATAATTTTTGGGGTTCGTACTCCATCCATTTGTTGAATGAATTGGTCAAGTTTCATCAAGTTGTGCTCTGTTTCACCCCCTGACTGCTCTGCTCTTACACACTGACCCCACAATCTCAACTATCTCTTCTTGTATCCACCACCAGGCCTCACGGACACAGCTAGTGTCTGCTTCTATAAGGGACATTGTCAAAGGCTAGTAAACTTCACTTCAGATTTTTTTTATATATTAAAAATTTTGAAAAGGTTTTTTTCTTGGTCTTTTAAAATAAACAGAAAATTATTTTCTAATGATCATTTTGCTATGATTCACATTATGAACATTTTCTATAAAGTAAGCCGTTAACATAAAATTCTTTAATTATCAGTTATTCAGATGGTTGCGAATAGTGTTTTTTAGAATAATGTGGGGTTGTGACTATGTCCAGAGATATTTAATCATCCCTCTCAGTGTCCTGGCGAATTATGGCATCTCCTCAGTAATTCTTTTCTTAAGTACAAGCTATAAGGATCCACAATCTTTATTATTATTATACAAATGTGCCATCATTATACTGATTTGTCCTGGTAAACCAACATTATATAAATACACTGTTATCTATTGAGCACATCCAAATGTGTGTGTGTGCGAGGTTTTTTAATATGATGAGTTATGATGGATGTTAGGACAATTTATTTGCTGCTGGAAATTTAAAAAAATGGCAATACTGACTTCACTGAAGTACACCTGTGTTTTTTGTATTATTCTTCCTGTTTATTATAGATCTGTATGTGTGTATTTACATGTCATATCCACTGGATTAAAGGGTTTGTAATTGTTGGGATTGTACAAACAGCCAATTCATTTTTTATTTGTTGCACCTATGCTATAATATTCTGGTAACTATGGTTCACAAATGTGTGGATATGCACTCTAAGAATGGGTTCTAATTTTGTTATTCGAGTGGTATTATCTGATTATGTAATATTAAAGAAGCATTATTTATTTGCAATTTCATTACTAAATATGAATTTAAATGCCTTATTACAATGTGCTTGACAGGTCAAGAATAATTTGTGCATTGAGTCAGGTTCAGTTAATGTCGTGGTGACCTCCACAATCATGTTGTCATGTTACTATTGTTGTTACATTTTCATTCACGAGACGTGTTTTTGTGTGGACTTCACTGTACAACGTGCGCATTTACAACTTTTTTTTTACTTTTTATGTGCAATTAAATAATTGTGTCAAAACTAATTTAACACAGAGTAAACGCTGGTCTTTGCCTCCCTCTAGTGGTCAGAAGTTAAGTGATAGAAAATACTTAACTGGTTAAATTTGCTTTGTAAGTAATAAGGATCTGTGATGCAGTTGATATTGTAAAATTATTTGTGTGTACTTTATATTACTTTCACCAAAATACAGTATATAATCGCGCATTACAAAGCTCATGAAGACACAGCTTCTATACACGAGTGAAGCTTGAGCACATCTTTAACTTGTCTTTCTTGCAAAAAAAAAAAAAGCTATCTTTCTCCGTCATGTATGTAAAACCACCCAGCAGCAGCAGACTGAATGGACTTTTTTTGTGAGTTAAGCTATCTTAGATTACTAAGGTTAGCTGACCTCATCACATGGAGGGGGCTTTGTGACAAGACCTAATGTCCTACGCTGTGTAAAAACAACACATAACCACCACTGCTCACCGTGACAGCCCCACATCTGATTTATTCTTATATGGCAAAGATTGGGAAAACATGGCACATTTTTGTTTTGTTTTTGTACAATGACAGTCATAGCAGTACAATGAGAATAATGTAGGCTACATAATAAACAATGATATATACATGTTATAAATTGATCCACACAAAATCAACAAATATGAATAAGTATGAAAAAATTGTTTGGCTGTGATAAAAAATGTTTAATTTGACAGTGATGAGGCAATCCATGAAACTACAGTACGTGATCCTCATCACACTTCTGTCTAAAACACAATATTTTCAATATTAAAATCGGTTCCTTTCCTGTGTCATCCTATGTGTAAATATCCATATCCAAATGACTAATTTCCTTGCGGGATAAAAAATCCATGCATGTCCTTGCGGAGCTCCGTGCTCACGTATGCTCGAGCGACTTCCTTGAATGTCCTGCCGTCTAGAATCAGGATGAAATCAGACTGGCCTGGGTTGGAGTTGATAACTGATGTTAAGACCACACCTGCAAATGGAAAGAAAAGTGGGTCACATTGGACAGGTTATCAAATTGACTCATGTTTTTAGGCCATTGTTCCAATCAATTTGTACTCCAGCTGATGCTGTGTATAAGCATGTGTAACACATGTACATGTCGCACATTCTCACCATCATCCTCTGTCTCTCCGGCTGGTTTGGGGATGAACACGGGTTCTGATGGCCAGCAGTTCTCTTCCTTCCAATAAACCATTTTCTTGGTTTCTGTGTCAAGCTTGGCGATCTGCAGTAAATGAACAGATTAGGAGGAGGAAAAAAAAATGAAGACACACTTTCATAAATATGTGTGTGTGTGTGATTCATCGGCTGGTTGAGGTGGGCCAAAGTAATCTTCTCTTTCTGAGCTGAACATTAATAGCTTATCCGTCATATTATTGCGATAAGCATCGTGATCGTGAGGTACTTTGTCCCCACTACGAGTTCTGTTCTTAGAAAAGTGCAATAAAATTGTTAGTTATGTCAGTTGGCTGTGCACACTGAGGAACTGGCATCAACTCTTTTCCAGGTATTTAGTGGGTAGACTTTAGTGACGGACGCACTAATCATTCCGGTCATTTTTCATCAGTGAGAGCTAGAGAGAAACTGTTATGCAAAACCATCTTTGCTGAATTTAATCTGTATTTTATAATATATAATAAAATATTTGTGCCATATGTTTGGTTAATTTAAGGCATCAGTACAAAATAAGGGGCAAAACATATGAAAAGTGTTATGTAGATGTTGTATATGTATGTTAAGACTAAATCTGTCTCTGTGTGGATTTATGATTTCAGTACTTCACTGACTCAGATATCTCTTTTGTCAGAGGGATGCCAGTTCATCTCTATGCTATAACCTGGTGCTCGCTGGTGGCAATTCCATCTACGCAATACACGTGTCAAGTGGGAATGAGCAGGAATCTTATTGTCTGAACTGTGTGTTTCCTTTCATAGCTTCCTCTTACGTCTGTGGACTGTGAGTAAACCTTGAGACACGAGGGAGTCTCTCTTCCAAACAATTCTTCCTTTGAAGTTTATCGCTTCTTTCCATTGTTTCTGGTGCATTTGTGTCAAATCACGATCAATGGAAAGGATGTGGGTATAACAGCCACAGCCATGAAGGGGTTTGGTCTTTGATTGCACAATAGGTAATTCACAATTGAACAAAGTGTTTCCCATCTTCTGTTGTACCAGCTGCTAATTCCCAGTTCTGCAATTTGCTTCCTAAATCTAAAACAATGCCGCCCAGAACATTTTGTTTACAAAGGACTTGAATCTTAAGTCTCTGATCTTCAAGAGTCTTTAACTTTGGTCTCTCTTGGCAAATAACACACGAGACGGATGTTCCCACCAGGCCTGCTCTACGATAGCCACATTAAAAACAATTTGTGCAGTGCCTGTTTTATGTCTGCCTACTTGGAACAGTCTGTTTACTTGGCCTGTTGTGATGCTGGTTGCAGCTTTCTCTCTGAAAGTGATCTGTGGCGAGTAAAGACTGGCTGTAGGACTCAGACCACAGGACCCTGAAGCTGTGCCACCGCTGCTGCACAAAGAGCTGTTCGTCTGTTTATTCAAAGTTCGGTAAAGCTCGACAGAAATGGACAGTGAATATGCTGTGGTAGAGATTAACGACGTTAATGTTAACGTGACGTTCACTTGTGTTGATGAGTCTCAGCCGCCGCTACGACAGAGTGCTGGTTACCTGTTTATCCAAGTTTAATAATATCAAATGTATCGTGAGTCCAAATCACACCAAACTGGACACTGCATTTCCTTGGGACTTAAATAGACGCTCTGTCTATTCTATCAACAGACATTGCTGGAATTGTCTCATAGATAAGATTGGGGACATTACCTCTTTTGCCAGAGCAGATTCCTCCACACAGTTGCCGTAGACAAAACGTTGTCTCTGTCCGTTGATGTCATAGTTGATTCTGGGTAATTCAAAACCTGATGAAGATAAAATGGAGTTTTCGTATTCTTAGGGAAAAGTCAATTAGTGTCACATATACACAATGTTAGAGAAACAGCTTTAAGTGTCTGTATGAGAGGCGTTGGATTTACCTTCACAGAACACCTCTGGCTGGCACATCAGTTTGCCCTCTTTCTCCTTCACAGCTCTGGCTGTTGTGTATTTGAGTTGCACCATGTTCTCTCCAACTGCAATGCTCTGCAAAAAAAAAACAGTTGATAAATAAAATGTATCATCGCAAAATTTCTGTATTATTGTTATTATTTATTTTTTATTACTATAATCCCACCTTGTTTGAATGGATGGGAAGTGCAAATCTCCTGTAGCTTGGTTTGGAATAGGTCTCGTCATGTGACCCAGCGTTTTCCTTCAGCTTGCTCAGGTAGAACATGTCATAAAGGCTGGTATCATCGTAGGCAATGACATCAAAGACAACATGGCCGTTATCCTCGAAAGCATTCACGTGATGGTAGACGACCATTGCTCCAGTGTAGTACTTCGTCTCAACTACTTTGCGGGTCTTTCTGTCTATCAGGTGGATCAGAGTCTGAGGACGAAACAATCATTTGGAAAGAAATTATATGTTGCCAAGGTTTTATTTTTGTCCATAACACTGGTAGCTAGAGCTGCTTCCCTACTGAGCAGTATGACCATAAAGAATGATGCATATTTAGCAATAAACACAACAGATAGCGACGCTCCCTTACATTTTCCTCAGGGCAGAACTTCAGACAGCTTGCCCAGCTGACTCCCCTCATGTACGCCGTGGCCATCTTGAGGATGTCCAGTTTGAATGGCTGCTCGATGAAGATGAAGTAATTTTCCGTCATGCCGAAGCTGTGGTAGTAACTCGGTGTAAGCAGGGAGCGGCAGGGGACTGTGCAGACCACTTCCACGTTCTTCAGTGCAGGGGCATTCTTGTCTTTGTCTGAAAAACCAAAGAAACTAAATTAATTAATGGAATGCATCTATCAAGCACCAAATTTCACAAACTCATAGATATTTGTTTGGAAAACATGCAATTTTAAACAAAGTGAAAACAAATTCCTGCGTCGACCCCCTGATGTTGATCCACACTGAAACTGAATGGGTTCTGTCCTGATGCACAACGCGTCCTTCTACCAAGTTTCATGAAAGTCGCTCAGTTGTTCTTGAGTGTAAATAAACATGTGACACACTATGGGGTTACACAGGTTGTTCTAACTATCATAACAATGTTTATGACATGATTGATATCTTTTGATGTAGAAACTGATATCATCACTTTATAGAGAGCAGACATTTCCATCTAGGAATCTTCCAAAGTCCTCGCTTTTCAAGCAAATTCAAAAAAAGGAACCATTTACAGTAGAAACTTCATTTTTTACTTCTGCAAAGTGCAGCTGATAGGAAGAGAGAGCACAGATGGAACAGGACAAAGTAGAGCGGGTTATGAAGTTTATATACCTTTCTCTGAAACTGCAGGGACTTTGAACAGAGTGTATTTCGTCTTGCCCTTTTCCGCTATTGAAGTTCCAATGTTGTAGGCGTTGCCCTCCTTGTCGTAGTGTGGATGGGATGAAGCCAGGTTTACAGGCAGGTACTTCATGTAGTCCACCTGTGACAATCAGAAACACAGGAGCTCTGAAACCAGCTCTTTACTCCATTGTGCAAAAACAGTGGTCTTTTTCAATTTTTTTTAACCTTTTCCTTAGTCTCCAGGGTCACAGGATCGATCTTAAGAATGTAGTTTGTTTCAGAGGTGGCATAGTAGTCGTTTCCATATTTGATGAAATTGCTTGCACCATTGTCCGTGAAGTCGGGCACCGTGTGGTTGAGGAAGGTGATAGCCCTGAAAGGTAAAGGAGGAAATGCGCCACATTCAGGGAGAATCCAACACAAAAGACCTCATTTCTTTAAAGTGGGGCCTTTCAGAAATGTGTGAGTTAATTGCATTTCAATGACAAATAAATAAATAGCTCCACAACAGGGAGGCTAACAGCAGGTGGCTTCTCCAACACCAGACACTGACGATCCTCATACATAGTATATCCTAGTAGTGGGGCAATGCAACAGAGTACTGTAATTAAATACATGTTTGTGTATCTGTACTGTACTTAAGTAGATTTATTTTCAGGTACATATTTCATCTATTATCAGTATTTTTTACTCTGCAAAGAACTGCATTACATATTCACACTCTTTTTTAAAAGTAAGCGAGAGGAACTGGTCCACTGATCCAATCACTGTGGGGAAGTAACATTCAACCTTGTCTGTAATGTTTTTGTATTAAAAATAAATATACAATAGGCACAGTTAATGATGTAGTATATCATTGCATTAGTACAAGTACAAGTGCATTTACTTTAAGCTGTTTAAATATATATTGAAAAGCCCTTAATTACTGATAATTATTTTTACTCAAGTAGAAAAGTTTCTGAGGTACTTTCCCTTGAGTAAAATGCGTGAGTGCTTGCTCCACCACACCTTAAAAAATATTACTTTGTGAAAATGAAATCTGACCAAGATGATAAAGATTATGATATGAATGAGAGAGTGTTCTTACTTGAAGATGAAGTTCTTGCTGGGGTCTGGATAGGCCATAGTCCCCATTTCAGACACAACTATCCTGTTTGCAGCCATGTTTGCTTTGTAAGTGTCACCTCTGAGGAATCTGCTTCTGTGGGTCATTTCACCTGTAAGAAAACATATTGTTAGGATTGTTTTTGTGCTTTTTAGCTTATTTTTGCATTAACTGGCTTCTCTCCACACTAAAATACATCAAAATCACGGCTCATTAACTGTGAAGCAGACACAGCTTTCAAGGTTTCTGATGTGATTTTCCATTATTTAATATAACAGAAAAAAGAAATTGCAACACCAACCATCTTTAAAGGCGAAGCTGTGCATGATGGCCATCCCATCGAACCAGTGCTCGTAGCTGGTTTCCCCCACACTAAAGATTCCGGGGCCATTACGCAGCAGGGTGCCTTGTAACCAATCGGGGATGCTTCCTATTCGAAAAGAAACAAACAAACCTTCAGTGTTGTAATATAAATATGTGCATCTGTTAGTCCTTTTCGTTATAGTACAAATAAAAAAACCGACTTACCTTTTACTTCTGCCTTGAGAGGCTCCGGCTTCTCCTCTGAGTTCTTGGAAAAGTCTGGGGCCATGTTTGCGCACAAAAAGACGAAGGACTCTTGGAGTTGTCTTGGAGGTGTCTGGGAAACACTGCTGTCCGACAGGCGCACAGACCACTCCCTTTAAAGCTGCTGTCTTTGTTGGGAAATTGGCAAAGGGCGGATTATCTTATCTCCACGCTGTCCCCAGGGGGAGATTCCAATGAAATATGGCAGTGATCAATTCAGCGAAACGCGCTCCCGTGGAGAGCTGTACCTCGAACAGCCTCATACTGACCCGTCACTCCTCACCTGCTGGATGAAAGAGAAGGAGAGTCAAAATCTCATTTTGCAAGGGATGAAAACTGGATCCAGTTTTCATCCCTTGCAAAATGAGATTTTGCCCATTTTGACCTTACATAAGTTGCAGATGCAGTTGAAGTGCTCACCTGTTACTGCACCTTTGGATTCTGCGAAAACGCATTGCATAACGTGCAATACAAGTTTATTAGCCACCAACTTGTTTTTCCTTATATTTTGATTCAGTTTGTTGAGTTCAGTGCTGCGCGCTCAAACACACACACACACACACAATGCATGCCCTAGTCTCTTAAACGCCTAAATACCTAACTCCAACAGTATCCACAACATCGTCAATTGTCAAAATGTCCATAAGGTCCACAAGTTCTTTGTGATCCTCACAAAGATATAAGTACAAGTACACATACATATAATATATAAAGCATGCACACACACTTGATGAAAAAAACAAACATCCAAATTGTGACATTAACAGTAACATACTGTTTGCCATTAAAATGGTACTGTACTCCTGAAAACAATGCATTCTGGGCAATATTTCTCTTTTCTGAGGGTGATGTTTCATCAGCCAGGCCCCGTAAATAAATAACTCACTACTTTATTTCTAAAGGAGGAGAAATCCTCCTGTTGTTGAGACTATCAAACAATTTCTGTGTTATTCCCTTGAGAAGTTGGTATGATCTTAAGTAATCTGTTTTATCTGCTGTTTTATGGCTTCACCTCGCTTGATAGCATATCCGTCACTATCACATACTGCACTGTACACGTGCATCTTATTTATCTTGAGAATTTGTGAAGCAAGAAAGTCAGAAACTGTGAACTGTGACCTATTATCCCATGTTTGTTGTGTGTGCTCATGTGCAGTTAATAGTTTTGTTCATATTTTGACAATACAACGTCCTGACATTTTATATTTTCCTGGTCATGTCATGTGTTTGTTGTGTTGCTTCTTATCTTGAAGCTCAATGAGTCAATGGTTGTCTTATGAAATATGCCTTATAAATAAACTGGAGATTCTTGGAATTATATCATCTTAATCCTTTTATGACATCCATGTGCGTGTTTCCCAGATTAACCAGCTGATGATGAACCTGATCTGAGATGGCCAGACCGATCTGCAGAGCAGTAGAGCAGGTGACCCATCTTCTTATCAAACCCTCCTCTCCTTCTGCAGTGGTAACCTTATTTTTTTTTTAGTAATTGAAACTCACTTGTTCTTTAAACACTGACACAGATACAAACTACCCAGTTACTAAAAAACACAGAGGACATATATCTCAAGTTTCTTCCATTTCAAACAACTAGTTACACAATTTCTCCCATTCTTATGTGTTCTGTTATTTTGTTCTGCCATATTAATACTTTTTCAATACTTTTTTCAGCAAAGTTAAGTGCTGAGTTAAAGTTGTGTGTCATGTCCAATGACAACTTTTTAAAATTTAGGTTAGTCTATTTAATAAATAATAAATACATGTAAATAAATATGATAGAGAACTTGCATGAGCTTTGTATCATTCTGAGGGAAAATGCAGAAACAACCTGTCTTATCTCAGGACATGGAGACATGGAGATCTGCTTGAAACTGTCTACGTGTCAGTGTGTATCTACACTAGGTGTGCAGTCTCGCAGTTGAGAGGGGGGATCAAAGGGTAAAGATCCAGTCCAAGACCAATGGAGTTAAATGTACAGCAATTTATCACTGACAATAAAATTTACATACTGTGTTTTGAAAACACATGTCAGCTTCGTCATCGGATGCCCCACTCTTGTGAAAATGGAGTCGCTGAAATTTCGCTTCCATACAAAACCTTCACAACCTCGCAGCTAACGGAGGGCTCTGTGACATCTCAACCGTGTCATAGATTGTGCGGCATGAATTTGACATCATGGGGAGATGGACTCAGCTATTATGGCACATAATAGCTGAGTCCATCCCCTTACTTACACTCTTTGACAGGTTTGGTCGTTTCCTTCTGCAAAGCACCAATCAGTTCAATCTACTCTATAAGATGGTGATGTTTCCATTTGATATCATAATATGAAAATTGTCTCGTCACTAAAGAATCAGGAAAACTCTCTCTATGTCTCGTTCATTCTCAGTTCTCTAACCCCCTCCTCGTCCTCATTTAATCACTATTGGATGTTTACAGTATTCCAATAACATTTTGAGCACCATATAGACTCTCATTTCTATCACACCACTTTCATGGAAACATAACTTTCTTTGGCAGAGGTAATACATATAGTGGAGCAGAAAGTAAGATTCACATGTAAAGTTCATGTGAGTATATAGCAGCCTACTTGAATGGTCACATTTCACCAATGCTTTGAATACTTGCTCATGAGGTTTGTGATGTATGTTTATGTGTGGTGTGTCTTTAAAGGAGGATGTCAACAGAAAGATCACAGGGGTTATGAAGACAAAAATGTCCTTCAACCTGAAACTACCTGTTCACACATTTAAGTCACGAAACATCCACCTCTTCACCTCAATCCCCCAGTGAAGGTCTAAGACATGTAATAAATACTCTCTCAGCAAAACGCTGAAAACTCAGGAGAGATCATAGACTTTCAGCATTTATGTGAATTTGAAGATTTATGTTTTGGGCATGAAAAGCTGCAGTGGCTGCTCATTGGACACAACCATGTACAGTGTTAGGGCTTAATAAGGCACTAAGACGAATAAATAAATATATAATATAAAGTACTTCTGATTCGGATTCTGAAATCACTTAGTAAAAACTGGAACTGAGGAAACGTTGTATCGTCAGGAGTTATACAAGTGCCCCACCTCCCATCCAAGAGGCCTCCCCAGCAACCAACC